GTCACGCGCGGTATGCTGTCTGTACCGAGGCCGCCACTGGTGCCCCCCTATCCACGTTCCCCCGGGACCCGGTGTCCGGCCTGTTCACTCTGGACACCGTGACCCCCCCGGCTGGAGCGCTCACCCAGGTTGCTGCCGCCTGCTCCTGTCAGTCCCTCACTCACCCGACCCTCCTTTGGCACCACCACCTAGGTCACCCTGCGCTCCCGCGTCTGCGTCACATGTCCCAGCACGGTCTTGTCCTTGGTCTCCCAGGTTCTCTCCCTGCGTTTCCCTCCTCCCCAGCCCCACCTTGCACGCCTTGTGTCGAGGGTCGGCTTCGCCGTGCCCCTCACTCCTCCTCGTTTCCCCCTACCGCCGCGCCGTTGCAGACCCTGCACCTGGACGTCTGGGGCCCCGCCCCTGTCCCTGGGCCGCGTCGAGAGCGCTACTTCCTTGTGCTTGTCGACGACTTCACTCGTTACAACACAGTCTTTCCCCTGGAGCGCAAGGCCGACGTGCCTGGCGCTCTCATCCCCTGGCTTGTCTCTGCGCGTGTCCACCGCGGTCTCCCTGTCTTGCGTCTTCACTCAGACCGTGGTGGCGAGTTTGCCTCAGGTGTCCTTGGTCGCTTTTGTCGTGCGGAGGGCATCACCCAGACGTTCACCCTACCGGACTCCCCACAGCAGAATGGGGTCGCTGAGCGACGCATCGGTTTGGTCATGGAGGTGGCTCGCACCTCCATGATCCATGCCGGTGCACCCCATTTTCTATGGCCGTTCGCTGTGCGCTACGCTTCTCACCAGCTTAACCTGTGGCCGCACCCTCAGCAGCCGCAGGTTTCGCCGACCCGTCTTTGGACTGGGTCTCCTGGTGACGCGTCTGCGTTCCACGTCTGGGGCTGTCTTGCTCACGTCCGTGCCTCCGGCACGGACAAGCTCACTGCCCGCACCCTTCCCTGCGTCTTCCTCGGTTTTCCCCTTGACGCGTCCGACTGGCACTTTTACCACCCGCCGTCTCACCGCTTCTTTCACTCTCGTGACGTCACCTTTGACGAGTCCGTCTCCTACTACCGTCGCTTCCCGCACCGTGGTCCCCCGGTTACTCCCCCCCTGTTCCTGGTCCCTCCTTCCCCGGTAGTCCCTACCCCTCCTCCTCCTCCTCCCCGTCCCGCCCCCTCTGGTGTGTCCCACGTCACCCCCCCTCCGTCCGTGGACCCGGTGGAGGAGTCTTCTGACTCTGGTGGCCCTCCTGTTCTGTCCTCGCCGGCCGCCCCTCCCCTAGCGTCCCCTTCCCAGTCCCCCCCTCCACCGCCTCTGCCGCCGCTGCAGCCGTCGTTGTCGCTGCCGCCGCCGCCGCCGTCGCAGCACCCGTTCGCTGACTCTGGGGGTGCTCGTCCAGGTAGCCCTGGGGGTGGTCCCTCTGGGGGTGCTGGTGTGGAGAGTGTCAGGGGTAGCCGAGGAGCAGCTAGCCGTCCCGGTGTCGCCGTTGTGCCGCCGCCGCAGCAGTCCCCGCCGGTCTCAGCCCTTCGTCTGCTCGGCCTGCCGTCCCCCGACCCTGCGTCGGTTCCTCCCCGACCGTCTCCTCCTCTTCCTGTCTACGGCCCTGTTTTCCCTCCGCCGGACTCGTCCCTGGCTCGTCTCCCCCCTCGTTCCCCTCCTGTGTCCCCTCCTCTTTCTCCTGACCCGACTCCTCCGTCGCACGTCTGGTCTCACCGTCCCTCCCGTGCTCGTCCTGCCTCGCCTGTCCTGCGCTCCCACCCTATGTTGCTTCGTTCCCACGCGTCTCGTCCTCCCCTTCTGCCGTCGCCTCCTCCTTCCTCCCTTGTTGTTGCACCCCCCCGGCTGTCTGACTACCTTCGTGCCGCTCGTCCTCTTGTTCCTCGCGTCCTTGCCTCTCTCGTTACCGACCCGTCTGTTCCGGCCTCGTGCCTTGACGCCCTTGTTGCTGCTGTCGCTGACTTCGCCTCTTCCCGCCGCCTTGACTACGCCTCCGCTCTGGTCTCTGACCCTGCCTGTCCTCCGTCTGTCGGGGGTGCTCCTGCCCTTGGCAGTGACGTCCTGGAGGACCGCCAGTTCGAGCTTGCTTTCCTGTCCGAGGCTGCTCCCCATCTCTGTTCCATGCTGCTAGTCCCTGAGGGTGACCCAGACGCTTTTGACATCCCGACCCCTCGCACTTACGCTGAGGCGACCTCGGGACCCTGGGCCTCGCAGTGGATAGCTGCCATGGAGCAGGAGATGGCATCTTGGAGATCCACCGGCACCTTCGTCGACGCAGTTCCCCCGCCTGGGGTGAACGTAGTCGATGGCCGCTGGCTCTTCAAGGTGAAGCGCCCTCCTGGAGAGCCGCCTGTGTTCAAGGCGCGCTACGTGGCTAGAGGCTTCAGTCAGCGCGAGGGGGTGGACTTCTTCCAGACCTTCGCTCCGACCCCGAAGATGACTACTCTTCAGGTTCTGTTACACCTAGCTGCTCAGCGTGACTACGAGCTTCACTCCCTCGACTTCTCCACTGCCTTCCTTCAGGGCAGCCTACACGAGCAGGTCTACCTACGTCGCCCTCCGGGCTTTACTGGCACCTTCCCTCCTGGGACCCAGTGGCTCCTGCGGCGCCCCGTCTACGGCCTGCGCCAGGCTCCCCGTGAGTGGCACGACACTCTCCGTACTACGCTTGCTGACCTGCAGTTCTTTCCGTCTTCCGCAGACCCTTCCCTCTTCGTTCGTGCTGGCCAGACTCCGTTCTACATCCTTGTTTACGTCGACGACCTGGTCTTTGCCACAGCAGACAGGGACGCACTGGCCTCCGTGAAGGCAGAGCTGCTGAAGAGACACACCTGCACTGACCTTGGAGAACTGCGCCGTTACCTTGGCTTGCAGATCTCCAGGGACAGAGCTGCGCGCACCATCACCCTGACTCAGTCACACCTGGTGCGCCAGGTCCTTCAGAGGTTCGGCCTTCAGTTCTCCTCTGCACAGCCCACCCCTCTGCCTGCAGACCACAGGCTCTCCGCTCCAGTGTCTGAGGAGTTGGTAGAGCCTAGCGGCCCCTACGCAGAGCTGGTGGGTTGCCTCATGTACCTGATGACTTGCACTCGCCCAGATCTCGCATACCCTCTCAGCATCCTGGCTCGCTTTGTGGCCACAGGCAGACACCGACCGCAGCACTGGTCTGCCGCTAAGAGGGTTCTGCGTTATCTTGCTAGTACATCGGGCATGGGGTTAGTGCTAGGAGGACGCAGGCCAGTGGTCCTTACTGGACACACAGACGCTTCGTGGGCAGACGACGCTGAGACACTCAGGTCTACCCAGGGCTACTGCTTCAGCCTTGGCTCAGGTGCCGTCTCGTGGAGAGCTACTCGCTCCTCGTCTGTGGCACAGTCCAGCTGTGAGGCTGAGATCTACGCTGGTGCCATGGCGGCACAGGAGCTCCGCTGGCTGACCTTCTTGCTCACTGACTTAGGTGAGCAGCCTAGCTCTGCCCCGGTCCTGTTCGCTGACAACAGGGCCATGATCCTCCTGTGTCAGGAGCCTCGACTCGAGGGCAGAGCGAAGCACATTCAGCTGCGGTACTTCCTCCTGCGTGAGCTACAGCAGCGACGTCAGGCTCGCGTAGTACACTTGGCCTCAGGTGCCAACACGGCTGATATCTTTACGAAGGCGCTTGCGCCTAAAGATCATCAGCGGCACTGTGTACAGCTTGGTCTAGTTCCTGTAGCCTCTCACTTGCTAGGACCTTGACTTTGTACTGTCCTTTATATGTATACTCAGACTGGACTTGTGTCCTCTCCCAGTGGCTGGACTAGTAGTGCCGCCCTGCTCTTGTTCTTGCCTTGTCTGTACTCCTTCTGACTGGTCTCTCAGACCCTTGTCTCAGAGGTTGGACTAGTAGTGCCGCCCTGAGCTGCTTGTTTAGGACATTCCCCTATGCAGTCTAAGGGGTGTGTCAAACATGTGTATTTGTCATGTTTGTATAGACTGTATAGGGTAGCCTCTTAGAGGGTACAACACTTAGGTATATCTGTGTGTACCCTCTCTCTAACATTATTCACTTATTCAATTTCTGTTACGCTATTCGAATAGTGTGCTAAGCGCTGGTGGCATTTGGGCAGAGTTCGCCTTCAAGTACTTGGTCGAAATTCGAGTCGAGTAGAAGTTCACTAGAAAAAAATATATATGTTCAAAGTACAAATAAGCACGCAAATATATAGGCAAGTGCAAACCCAAGAAAATTTGCGTGGCGCTGCGGGTGTAACCAACCACCCCGAATTTGCCGAAGGGTTGGGCGAACGCGCCTCGCCCAATTCTCCAACCCAACTCAGCAAGGTTGGGTTTGCCGTTTGCGGAACTCCAACAGCAAGGCAAACACTGCCTTGCTCCTCACGAAAATCCATCGCAATAGCAACGACTACTCATGACTCGTCACAGTCACTGGTCGTCGTAGGCATCTCCGGACCAGTCCACACAAACTAGACTTAGTCTTCGGATGCAACGATTAGTCCATGTACCTTGGTCACGCCAACCCGCAGCTGCCAGGCAATTAGTGCACCACCAACCTGCAGCTGCAGTAGGGCTTCCAACAAACATCCATCGAACAGCAACTGCTATTCATCTTACAGCTTCTATGTACACAGCTACGCTAGCCGCACGTTTTAATCTCACAGCTTCAACTGTAACCACTCCTTACCGATCTCTACCGACAGACTACAAACCCGATACTATTCCACTCAATAACACTGAACTAGGAGAACTTGTCAGACCTCCCACAAGCTAGGAGAACGCACTCGGACCTCGCAATAGACGATGTTACCTTGGAATCAGCCACACTTCGCACATCACCTTTTGGTTACCATCTGTGCAGTTATTATCATATGATTGGGCAAGCTTGTTTGAGCGAGTTATAACGAGGCTCATGCGACGGGAGACTTCGTCGAGCGCGCCAAAGTTTCGTGCAGCGATCTTGAGCCGAGCACCCAGGGGTTTCCAGCAGAATTTAACTGTTTGCTGCCTCGCGTTTTTCATTTTGGCTGCCAGGAAACGGATTGCGAATTCAAGAAGCTGCTGCCAGGAAATCAGATTAGGGTCTAGTAATCCCCAGAATAGAAATCGCAGATGGAGGATTCCAAGATGGCCGAGAGTAGTAAAGCTGGAACGGTATTACAGACGTATCCACGAGGCCTACTAGCTTTAATCTGCCGATTAGCTTAAACGGAGATCGACCGGCGCCTTACCCGGCCTGAGCGAACTTATCATGTCGCCGTCGCAGCTGTACCATTCGTGCCCCGTCACCGATGACTCCGTGGACTGCGACTATGCACCACCCAGCACCGCCCAGCACGACCCAGCACTACTAATAGACCCCTCGCTGCTGCCGGAAAAGGATAATTACTCCAAGAACCCAAGCCCCAGCAGCAGCTCGAGCCACGTCAGCAGCGCTTCAGATCCAATCAGATTCTCGTATCGACTGGCCCAAGTAGTACCGTGCGTTCAGTCCATCGCGGCGACCGTGCTCGTGCTCCTCCTCGTCACCTGGTGTGCCACCACCTCCTTGCAGCCCGTCACACTCTGCTTCATAAGCGCCGTGGGCTGCGGCAAAGGGATACGCGAAGCGGCGCCTCGCCAAGCGTCCCTCGTTCCCGGATCCTCTTCCCATGAAAGCTCCCTCAGTCCTGGCTCCCTCAGTCCCGGCTCCCTCGTTCCCGGCTCCTCTACCATCACATCGACTCGCCTCCTCCGCGCGTTCCGAGAGCGCCACGCGTGCCTCGCGACTCGCGGCCGCTGGCGCCTCGATCCCGACCCGCGCCTGCTGCCCTGGAAGCCGGCCGGCCCGCGCGGCCGCCTCTCGCCGTGCGACGCGGCGTGGACGGCGGACGCGGCGAGGACGGGACACGTGGCGGGAGGGGAGGCGGACGAGGTGGCGGAACGCTTTTTTCGTGAAGTCGAACGGTTTTCGCTCGAAGGAAAGCGTGCTTCCGTGACAGGGAATGCGTCTTCCACTACCATTAGTAGTAGCGTGGAGCAAGGGAGGGGGGCGGCGAGAGAGTGGCGCGTGAGGGAGACCGTCAAGTACCGATGGGTCCCGGATGCCTCGTGCGGACGGTGGGAGGCGGTAGATGGGAGAAAGTTAATCGAGCTGATCAAGGGACGGAGGATGCTCGTAGTGGGTGACTCTATATCGGGGATGAGCTTCTGCTCGCTGTGGAACCACTTGCTGATGCAGCCGCAGCAGAGCATCTTGTCAGCAGCAGCCGGGAATGCTTCTGCAGAGCAGCTCAAGGGTTCTGCAGAGCAGCCGAATGGCTCTGCAGAGGCGATCAATGAGGCGATCAATGCTCCTGCAGAGCAGCTCAAGGGTTCTGCAGAGCAGCCCAATGGGTCTTCAGAGCAGCTCAAGGGTTCTGGAGAGCTGCAAGTTGCAGTTGAGGAAACAGTTCCAGAGTTCTGCAAGGAGCGAACTGCGATTCCTGACCTGGCAAAACGACGTGTGGTGGCCTGTTCGGAGGTCAGGGCGGGTGATGTCTCCATTGTGAACATAAGGGACGACCTCCTAAGCACTGCAGCGGAACCAGTAGTTCATCTCCCACAGCGGGTTTCCATACCCTGGTTTGATCAAATACTCCCTGACACAGGAACGTCCATTCTCGTGATCAACCGCGGGGCTCACTACGTAAACAACAGCCTATTTATTCCTCAGCTAAACGAGACGCTTACTAAAGTGCGTGCAGCTGCTCCTGATCTCCTCCTCATATACCGCAGCTCCTCACCGGGCCACATGCACTGTGAGCAACTTACAGCACCGCTCAGAAAACCTCAAGACCCATCCCAGTTGCCCTACCATTGGGGGGATTTCGCTGCTCAGAATGCCGTGGCCAGGCAGCTGGTGGAAGCGGTAGGGGGGGTGTATCTGGACGTGGCTCCTATGACGGCTCTGAGGCCTGATGGGCATTTGAGTCCGCCCTGGGACTGCCTGCACTACTGCCTGCCAGGCCCGCCTGATGAGTGGACGAGGCTGCTGTATCATATGCTCAAGGACCTGGTATGATGTGCCTGTAGTGTAGTGCCTGTACACACCGCTGGAAAATGACTGGGTGCATGACTTGGCGTATCCAGCTGGACGTGGCGCCTATGACGGCTGCGGTGCGGGGCCTGACGGGCATTTGAATCCGCCCCCTGGGAATGCCTGCTCTGCTGCCTGCCTGCCTGCCAGGCCCGCCTGATGAATGAATTCGCATTGCTGTATAATATGCTTCAGGATCTGGTGCGACACAACACCGTCTCCACTGAATTCGTCTATTCCCATGATTACTTGATATCATTGCCTGTATCTTGGATCCACGCCCTGTAATATAGTCGGTATATTTTAAGAGTGAACGTTGCTTTATAAGTTTAACAAAGGGCGCTGACTCATGACTTGTAAGAGATTGCGGAAAGCGAGGATACTCGATATTAGACAGACGCAAAAGAGCCAGTCTTCAGCACTTGCGGACTCACGAAGGCCCAGTCCGGAACTTGAATCAGACGTAGTGGTCTTCGAGCTGATCTCACTTCCTCGAAGCGTAATGTACATGAGATTAGGTGCGATTTAGGGAAAATTGCTGCCGCGGACTGTCCACGAAACTTTTCATACTTTCGTGGACAGGCCCTACTTTCATGGACACCACATCGAACTTTCACATCTCCCGTGGACTCCGTCAATACTTTCGTGGACTCCAGGCTTACTTCCATGGACACACGCGAGTTTGAAACAAAAAAAACATACAGAACTGTACAGATGCTGACAGGAGAAAAAAAGCAGAATTAGGCGTAATCAAGTCCCTCGCAAATAGTCGCAAGCTACAGTATTTTCAAGCCACCAAGTCCGCTAGCTGTTTCGCGTGTTTATAGAAACTCTGAAGCGATCCTCAAAATTCATTTGAATGACTGTCACGAAGCGCTTTTCGTTGAACGATAAGTGTAGCAGACCGACCTGGTGAAATATCGCTACAAAAAAATCACGTTGTAGAATAAAGATAGATATTACGCTTACAAGATTAATAGAGCTCATTAAAAATCTCTGCCTACCAAGAATCAGGAATACCATGAATTCTGGCATTTACAAATATTTCAACTAGTACTTGGCTTGCATTTTCAACTAAGATGTGAAATCTCAGAATACCAATAACGTTTGGTGAACATGACTATATAAATGGAAGGTTTCACGTCTTGATTGTATTATTATTATTAAAATTTCGGTACATAGTAAAATAATAATAGATGAGAAAATGATTTAACTATTTTACATTCACGTTTTTGGGAATATTTTTTTTTATGTTTGAACGAGAAACATACTAATGCAAATAAAAACAAGTGATTCTAAAAAATATATTTCTTAGGTGTTTTTCTCCACAGAATTACTAATAATGAAATTATTTATTATGAAGGAGAAAACAACTGCTGGTTGATGCTGGCTCGTCAAGCACGTGCATATTATGTTTTGTTGGGTAGCTCTGAGTTGAATAATAAGTGTTTTTACCACGCGGACCCTAATACACCCTTCTTTTTGAAAATTCACTGCATATTTGAGTGCGGCTGCAAACTCTTCCCAGAAAAGCTCCGAGATTCTGTTTCAGAACTGGTTTCCGACACTGTAGCTCGCGATTACTTGCGACGGACAGATATTCTGGAGTATCTCGATTTTTGTGCCCGTAATCACTTGTACATTGCTGAATACTCCTTTTTAACTGCGAATATGGGTGTGTCCATGGAAGTAAGCCGGGAGTCCACGAAAGTATTGACGGAGTCCACAGGAGAAGCAAAACTTCGATGTGGTGTCCATGAAAGTAGGGCTTGTCCACGAAAGTATGAAAAGTTTCGTGGACAGTCCGCGGCAGAAATTTTCCCTGCGATTTAACTTAAGTGCGATCAAGGCGTTAAACGGTTCCGAAGTGGCGCCTAGCCATGCGGGAAAGACCCTGGCCTAATGCCGGCCTTAGCGGCCGCCTTATAACGGTTCGTCTTATATCGCAAGTCGCTCGAAGTCTGCACGCGAAGGCTAGCTCGCAGGGCCGTAGCCGCCATGTGAGCACGAATCATCAACGGTGGAAAATAGAAACAATTTGCGAAGATGAATTATTGGGTCTCCCCAGATCGCGAGTCGAAGCTGCTACGAAGTTTCTAGGGGTAGCTCCGGCCAGCAGTAGTGGCAAGTTCCACTTTCAGCGTTCCTCGCCTTCGTCTGAGCCTTCCGATCGTGGGTTCAGAGATCCATGGGAGGTCCACAACCGTCCGATTGCAGGTAGTTCCGTGTTTCGTTCACCGCTTCACTCGCTACAAACGAGTCCCCTTCAAGCGAGGACGTTCTCGAGCGGGCTCGGCGCGGCACAGGAGTTAGCGGCGCTAGATTCAGGATCGCGGGACGAAAGCGAACGAGCAGACGGAGAACGGAGCGCGGGGAAGGATGCGCTCGAAAGAGCAGACGGGGAAAGAAGCGCGGGGAATGGCGCGGCGGAAGAAGTGTCTGCCACGCCCCGCAGCGGATCCGCATCCTCGTTTGTAGCGTCCTCGACTGCACGGCATTCCTTTCGTCGCGCCATCCGGACTGGACCGTCGCTTTCGGATTTCGTAAGGAGGGGAGGTGCAGGAGGCCAGCTGGGCAATCGCGTTTCAGATAGTGCGGCGGTAGCAGCAGAGTCAGACGCAGAAGTAAGAGCAGCAGCCAAGGGAGCAGTAAGAGCAGCGCGGAGGGTGGGAGGCGCGGAGAGAGACTCTAAGGAACCGGCTGAATCGGCTCCTGATCTCCCATTACTCAATCCCCAGCAACGCTCGGATTCGTTACAAGCACAAATGGACGGGTTCCAGACTAGCCTCCCACCCCAGTTTCACGAATCTAGCCTCGATATTGTCACAAACTCGCTTCCAGATAAGTTCACGGACCCCAGGGGAGTGTACCTCGAGTCGTACGGCTGCCAGATGAACGTGAACGACCTGGAGGTGGTGCTAGGGATCCTCAAATCCGCAGGGTACCACGTGGCACGCGCTGATAGGCCCGAGGAGGCGCGGGTGATTCTGGTGAACACGTGTGCCATCAGGGATAATGCGGAGGCGAAGGTGTGGCACAGGCTGAATTACTTCAAGCACGTGAAGCGGAAGTGGAGAGAGAAATTCGTGCATTCTGCTAGTGCTGCTGCTGCTGCTGCTGCTGCTGCTGCCACTGCTAGTGCTGCATCTGCTACAGGGTTACCACCTGGCTGGTTACCGCCTCCTCCCAAGGTGGCGGTGCTAGGGTGCATGGCAGAGCGGCTCAAGGAGCAGCTGGTGGCGGGCGATAGCATGGTGGACGTGGTGTGCGGGCCGGACGCGTACAGGGACCTACCAAGGCTGCTAGACGAGGTGAGGATAACGAGTGTGATTGTGAAGAGATTGTTGTGTCGTCATCCTAGGGTGCGTGGCGGAGCGGCTGAAGCAGCAGCTGGTGGCGGGGGATGGCATGGCGCTCATGGGGTGTGGCCTGCAGGGGTACACAGACCTGCCACGGCTGCTGGACGAGGTAAGGATAAGTGAGTGTACAAAGGGTGATTTTAACGAGGAAGGGGTGGATTCGTCCTAGGGCGCATGGCAGAGCAGAGAGGCTCAAGGAGTAGCTGGTGGCGGGCGACAGCATGGTGGACGTGGTGTGCAGGCCGGACACGTATAGAGACCTGCCACGGTTGCTGGACGAGGTAAGGATGAGCATTTGTAAAGAGGGTGATTGTAAGGGTTGGAGCCATCTTAGGGCGCATGGCAGAGCGGCTGAAGCAGCAGCTGGTGGCGAGGGATAGCCTGGTGGACGAGGTGTGCGGTCCGGACGGGACCTCCCACAGTTGCTGGACGGGGCGAGAATAAGGTGTGTGACTGTAACGAGGTGAGTCAGCATCCTCCTCTTGCTCGAGTCAAACCCCTTCTGCCCCCCTCCCTCCCCTCTCCTCCCCTTTCCCGTCTCACTATTTTCCAGAAGATAAACAGGTCGTTGCAGGTCAGCCACGTGTCCTGTGAGTCAACACCCATGCCGCAACAGGTCTCCGTTTCCCCTCTTCTTTGCAAATTATTTTTCTTATAACAGGTTGAGGCAGGCCAGCCGGGAGTCAACACCCTCCTCTCCCTCGACGAAACCTACGCTGACGTGTCCCCGGTCCGAATCGCTTCCAATTCCATCAGCGCTTTTGTGACTATAATGAGGGGGTGCGACAACATGTGCTCCTACTGCATAGTTCCCTTCACGAGGGGCAGGGAGCGCTCCCGGCCAATCAGTAGCATTCTGGGAGAGATTGAGGTGCTTGCTGGGCAGGGTGTGAAAGAAATTTATCTTCTCGGGCAGAATGTAAACAGCTACCGAGACACCTCGGAAGGTTCTACCTTTGGTCCAATCAGCAACACTCTTTCGTCCTCTGCCCCCCCCTCCTCCTCCTCCTACTCCTCCTCCTCCTCCTCCTCCTCCTACTCCTCCTCCTCCTCCTCCTCCTCCTCCTCCTCCTCCTCCTCCTCCTCCTCCTCCTCCTCCTCCTCCTCCTCCTCCTCCTCCTCCTCCTCCTCCTCCTCCTCCTCCTCCTCCTCCTCCTCCTCCTCCTCCTCCTCCTCTCACCCGCACTTGACCCCTGGGTTTTCAACAATCTACAAACCCAAGCTAGGAGGACTTAGATTCGCCACACTCCTAGATGAAGCATCCAGGAACTTTCCGGACATCCGCTTCCGATTTACCTCCCCCCACCCCAAGGATTTCCCCGAGGGGCTTCTTTCGCTCATGGCTGCCCGGGGCAACGTGTGCAAAAGTTTGCACCTGCCCGCGCAGAGCGGCAGCAGCAGCGTGCTTGAGCGAATGCGCAGGGGGTACACGAGGGAGGCGTATCTGGCGCTGGTGGAGAGAGCCAGGGAGATTCTGCCTGATGTTGCCATCAGCAGCGACTTTATCACAGGTGGGTGGTAACCAGCAGCAGGAGCGATAGTGCGCAGGGGGTACAGGAAGGAGGCGTATCTGGCGCTGGTGGAGAGAGCCAGGGAGATTCTGCCTGATGTTGCCATCAGCAGCGACTTTATCACAGGTGAGTGTTAGACATTGCGCGCACTGTTGAGTGGTAATTAGCAGCAGCAGTGTGTGTGCTTGAGAGGATGCGCAGGGGGTATACGAGGGAGGCATATCTGGCGCTGGTGGAGAGAGCCAGGGGGATTCTGCCTGATGTTGCCATCAGCAGCGACTTTATCACAGGTGAGTGTTAGACATTGCGCGCACTGTTGAGTGGTAATTAGCAGCAGCAGTGTGTGTGCTTGAGAGGATGCGCAGGGGGTATACGAGGGAGGCATATCTGGCGCTGGTGGAGAGAGCCAGGGGGATTCTGCCTGATGTTGCCATCAGCAGTGACTTTATCACAGGTGACTGTTCATGTACAGATCAATTAGGGCATAGTTTTAGGTACAGATTAATCAGCTCTTTGCGTGCTGCTCCCATACGGTCCCCAGGTCTTCGCCCGCTGCTCGACATGGCTTACATGTTCGCCTACGCATTGCTGTGGCCTGTGCCCATGAACACTCTCTCTCTCCCTGTCTTGCTGCATCATGATCCCACAGGCTTCTGTGGCGAGTCGGAGGAGGAGCACCAGGAGACCCTTTCTCTCATGCGAGCAGTCGGCTACGACATGGCTTACATGTTCGCCTACTCGCTGCGGCCTCGCACCCACGCGCACCGGCGGCTGACTGACGATGTGCTGGAGGAGGTGAAGCAGAGGCGGCTGAGGGAGCTGGTCGAAACGTTCAGAGAGACGACAGCGGCTCGATACAGCGGTCAGGTCAGTCCGCTCTCTCTGCCTTGCACTGTAGGCTGGGTGACGATGTGCCGGAGGGGGTGAAGCAGAGGTGGTTGAGGGAACTGGTGGCAATGCTCAGAGAGACAAAGGGCGCCAGATATTCTGCCCAGGTAGACCCCTATCTGCCCAGGTAGACCCCTATCTGCCCAGGTAGTCCCCTATCTGCCCAGGTAGACCCCTATCTGCCCAGGTAGACCCCTATCTGCCCAGGTAGACCCCTATCTGCCCAGGTAGTCCCCTATCTGCCCAGGTAGACCCCTATCTGCCCAGGTAGACCCCTATCTGCCCAGGTAGACCCCTATCTGCCCAGGTAGACCCCTATCTGCCCAGGTAGACCCCTATCTGCCCAGGTAGACCCCTATCTGCCCAGGTAGACCCCTATCTGCCCAGGTAGACCCCTATCTGCCCAGGTAGACCCCTATCTGCCCAGGTAGACCCCTATCTGCCCAGGTAGACCCCTATCTGCCCAGGTAGACCCCTATCTGCCCAGGTAGACCCCTATCGGCAGTGTACCCACCGCGCGCACCGGCGGCTAACTGACGATGTGCGTGAGGAGGCGAAGCAGAGGCGGCTGAGTGAACTGGTGGCAGCTTTCAGAGAGACAACTGCTGCCAGATACTCTGCTCAGGTAAATCCTTAATGACCCTCTGTTGCATGCACGTGCACTGGCGGCTGAGGGACGATGTGCCTGAGAAGGTGAAGCAGAGGAGACTGAGGGAGCTGGTGAAAACGCTCAGAGAGACAGCAGCGCTTGGATCCTCTGCCCAGGTCAGTCCCCTCCCTCGTCCTTGGACTGTCGGCTGAGTGACGATGCGCATGATGGCACGTGCAGCAGGGGCGGCTGCCTGAACTGCGGCAGACGAGGTGACTTTTGAGTCAACTCAAAAGGCGGCTGCCTGAACTGCGGCGGACGGTCAGAGAGGCAACAGAGGCCAGAAACAGCGGCCAGGTGAGTCCCCTCTCTGTCGCACTGGCTGAGCTGAGCTAGTGGCGACAAGTGTGAGGATGAGCACATTGCTTGCATGCGACAGGCGGCTAAGGGGCGATGTGCGTGAGGAGGTGAGGCAGGGGCGGTTGGGTGAACTGCTGCAGACGGCTGTCAGATACAGCGCTCAGGTAAACCCCAAAGAAGCTATTTTTGGCTTTTGAGACGTTTCAAAAACAAGCACGCGCACCGGCGGCTGGAGCCCAGCAGGCTGTGCTTCTGGAAGTACCCAACATGCGCCGTGCCCTTCTCTTACTATCTGCGTACCTATTCCTATTTCCATGCCCATTCCCATGTTTGGCCATTATTCCCCCGTTTCCTCTCCTTTAGGTTGGTTCCAAGCAGGTGGTGCTGGTGGAGGGCCCCAACAAGCGCGCTCCACTTTCAGAGATGATTGGCAAGACGGATCTGGGCCACAGAGTCACCTTCCCCAGCTCGTTCCACCACCACTCTTCAGATTCCGACGGGAAGCACGAGTGTTTCTCTCCTGAAATGGCGGATTGGGATGGCAGAGGTGCTGGCAGGGGTTCAGGTGGAGGGGGGAATGCTAACGTAGGTGACTATGTCCTGGTGGAGATCATTGGTTCCACGCACGCTTCCTTACGAGGGGTGTTGTTAGGCAAGTGTGACATCTCAGGGCGGCTTGTTTGGTGATGAATTAGTAATGTCTTGCACTTGCGATTGTGTTGCCATTTCCACACTACCACTCCTGCCAGCTCCATGGGACACACTTCCATAATGTGTGGTGCTGAGAATGTGCAAGGTAACAAGTACTACCATACTGCATCTCTGCTCACAGCTTATGCATGCTACTATAATGTAGGTGCTAATAGCTAGTAACAAGGAGCAAGCCACTGGGCATAAGTAACGGACACTCATACACTGCAGGTGCCTGGTAATGGTCTTAAGTGCTCATAGCTTTGCCTGGGCTGAGGCCCGATAAATCCAAAGATGGCCAAGAGCAAGCCCAGGCAAAGGTGCCTGCCGGTCTTGCATATGAGCTAGTAGCTTAGGTGCCCGTTCATAGCTCAGGCCAAGCTGGAGCCCGAGAACAAAGTGGACGACGAAGAGCAGCATTATCACACTGCCCAAATCTGTTTTTTGAGTGGGTGAGCTTTTAGCCCAGGCCTGGTACAACTTAGGGACCGCTAGTAGCTCAGGCCGAGCTGCAGCCCGAGAATGCCGTGGACGACAAAGAGGAGCATTATCGCGCTGCCCAGATATGCATGGACGCCCCGCAGGTCAGGGTTGCTCTGGTGGTGTGGAAAGGGGGAGGGGGGAGGAGGGGCGGAAGCGAGGACACACACGTGGATGACAGAGAGCAGCATTATTGCAGACACTGGGGTGTGGCATTATTGCACTGCCCAAGCTGCCTAAATATGCCTGGATGGGGCGCAGGTCAGGATTGCTTTGGTGCCGGGGGGAAGGGGGGGAAGGGGGGGAAGTGTGCGGGGAGAGAGGGGGGGAGCACGGAGTTCAGAAAGTGAGAGTAGTGACCTGATTTAACATGCACATGCACCACTGCACTTGCGGCATGCACATGCACCAATGCACTTGCGGTATGCACATGCACCAATGCACTTGTGGCATGCACATGAACCAATGCACATGCAGCAATGCACATGCACCAATGCACATGCACCAATGCACATGCACCAACGCACATGCAGCAGTGCACATGCAGCAACGCACATGCAGCAACGCACATGCAGCAACGCACATGCAGCAACGCCCATGCAGCAACGCACATGCAGCAACGTACATGCAGCAACTCACATGCAGCATGCACATGCAGCAACGCACATGCAGCAACGCACATGCAGCAACGCACAGCACAGAGCCAACATTGAAGAGGCAGTCTCTGCAGCAGTCTGGGCTGGGAACCGTGCAAGTGGGAGCATTGGTGCAAGCATCGGTGCAAGCATCGGTGCAAGCATCGGTGCAAGCATCGGTGCAAGCATCGGTGCAAGCATCGGTGCAAGCATCGGTGCAAGCATCGGTGCAAGCATCGGTGCAAGCATCGGTGCAAGCATCGGTGCAAGCATCGGTGCAAGCATCGGTGCAAGCATCGGTGCAAGCATCGGTCGGTGCAAGCATCGGTGCAAGCATCGGTGCAAGCATCGGTGCAAGCATCGGTGCAAGCATCGGTGCAAGCATCGGTGCAAGCATCGGTGCAAGCATCGGTCGGTGCAAGCATCGGTGCAAATATCAGTGCAAGCACAAGAAGAACATAACAATGAGCAAGGAAGCGCCTTCACCACCAAGGAGTGGGGCTTTAGAGTGGAAATAAGTGAAGACTGAATGCAAGCACACACAAGAGGGTAGCAGCGAAGCAAGCATGCGGACGCACCACACAGCAGGCTCACCTTGAACTGGGAAGTCATTGCCGCCTGAATGGTGAGCAGCACAAGGCCAGCCATGCCACTGTATGCATGGGGGCTGCGGGTCGGGAAGCAGACAGACAGTGTGGAGGAAGGAAGGGATGGGGGGTGGGGGGGGTGGGGGTGGGGGGTGGGAGGGGGTAGGACACGTGGTGTGTGGCAGAGAAACCAAGTGAAACAGAGCAAGACCAGCCATGCCGGTGCATGCGTGGGGGCTGCGGGTTGGGAAGCAGGCAGACATACATAGTGTAGAGAAGGGGGATGGGAGGAAATGTGGTGAGTGGCAGAGGCACCGAGTCGGCAGAGCAACAGCCATGCCGGTGTATGCGTGGGGGATGCATGAGAAGAGGAAGGAAAGTAGATGGCAGGTGGGGGGAGAGGTAGAGGAGGCAACAAGAATGCGTTGGCAGCGAAGACCTTGCATTAGCTGTTTCGTTGTTAATAAAAGCCCACACTTGAAGCACACACTTGAAGTAAACATTTGATGCACAAATTTCAAGCACACACCACTTGAAGCACACACCACTCTAAGCACACACCACTCGAACCACACACCACTTCAACCACACACCACTTGAAGCGCCACCCAGCCTCCCTCAGCTCCCAATAAAGGAGTCAAAATTGAGAATTCTTAAAAACGACTCCACTTCAGCCTGTGCTGACAAGAGAGACTTTCCCACCGCTGAGCTCAGCCCAAGGGCGCCCATTCCCGAAGGCAGTTCACCTGTGGCACCAAGTGAGCCCCCCCATGTGCACCCCTCTATACCTCTCAAACATGGGCTGGCCGGAGGTCGCCAGCGAGGTGAGTCCGCCAGTGGCGCCGATGGCAAAGAAGAGTAACATGCACGCCATGATGGGGGGGTGCGCTGCTGACTGCTCGCATGCCGGGGTGCGCTGCTGACTGCTCGCTTGCCGGGGTGCGCTGCTGACTGCTCGCTTGCCGGGGTGCGCTGCTGACTGCTCGCTTGCCGGGGTGCGCTGCTGACTGCTCGCATGCCGGGGTGCGCGGCATGCACGTGCTGCTTCTGTCCCCGGCATGCGGCTCCCTCTACCTCCCAAAGCCCAGCACGCCCATACCTCTCGAAGATGGGTCTGCCACTGGTCACGAGGGAAGTGAGGCCGCCCGTGGCACCGATGGCGAAGAAGAGAAACATGAACGCCATGATGGGCGGGTGACCAGCGCGTGCAGCAGCCTTGGCTTCCTGTTGTGATGGTGGTAGAGGTGTGTGTGGGGGGGGGGGGGGGAAGTGGGGGCTTTCAGGAAATGGGTGGGATGGGCGAAGAAGAGATGATGAGTCCATGAGGGGGAGGAGGGGGGTGGGGACTGGCACGTGCAGCAGCAGCCTTGGCTTCCTCTGAGGAAAAGGATGATTAAAGAAGATGAACATGAAGGCCGGGTGCGCTGCTCGTGCTGCTGCCTTGGCGTCCTGCTGCAGTGAGAGGGGGAACCAAGAAACGAAGGCATGAGGCATGGAACATGGGGAGGAGGGACGAGGTGACTTTGAGTCGCCTCGGAACATGGGGAGGAGGGACGGAATTGCGGGGAGGAGAAACTCGAACGCCTTGATCTTGGGGTATGTTGCTTGTGCTGCAGTGCATAACTCACAACTCACCTCTCACAAATTCACATCTCACCTATTCACATCTCACAAGTTGACATGTCACAAATTCACATGTCACAAATTATTTTCTCACAAGTTCACAAGCCATAGATTCACATGTCACAAATCCACGTCACAAATTTACGTCACAGAATCACATGTCACAAATTCACACCTCACAAATTCGCATGGTCACAAATTCACATGTCACATTTGCATCTCACGTCTCGCACCCATCAACTCTCAGGCAACGAGGCAAGCGGATCTACCATACTATCAATCCCTCCCTCCTTTCAATGCGCAATACTCACAGGCGACGAGGCTTGGCGAACCTGTCATCCAAGGTTCGAGCCGTACCTCCTGGGTCAACACATTCCCTTCTTCCCCTCCCTCTTCCTCCCCCCCGCCCCACCTATCTGCCAAGCCATCACTCCCCTCCCTCCTTCACAATGCGCACGACTCACAGTCGGCGAGGCAAGGCGGGTCTGCCATCCCACGTACGAGCTGCATTCACTGAGTGAGTCAATCCCTTTACTCCCCCCTGCCCCTCCCACTCTGAAAACCCTCCCTCCCTCTCCCACCAGCCGAACCAGACTCACAGGCGACGAGGCAAGGCGGATCTGCCATCCCAGGTACGAGCCGTACCCCCCCATGGCCAGAAGAACCACTGCCTGCATGCCACGTGACAAGAAGAACGATAAGGGCGGAACAGGAGGAAGTAAGGGATGAGATGAGCGGAGAGGACAGGCGAAGGAGAGGGGGAAATCTGCCAGTGAGAATAGAAGAGAGTGGTCTTGCTTTTCTCTTCTATTTTTTCCCAAAAACTAAGAATAAGTGGGGTGGGACTTTCATCCCGAATCCATGACCAGAACCCAAAATACCTAAAGCTGCTAAACAAGGGATCAAGGAGAGAGGAATGCGAGAGAGGAATGGGAGAGAGGCAAGGTGCAAAAAAACGGCCGTATTATATTTTGTTTCCCGTAAAAATACAGTATCGTATTTTCCGGCCGTATAAAACGGTTAAAAACGGTCCGGAGCAGCTTTTTTTTTACTGGTGCAAAAAAACGGCCGTATTTCCCCCCCCCCCAAAAAAAAAACCTACAAAACGCCCAGATTTGCCATTTCGCCTGCCGAAACGCGCGGATCTGGCATTTTGACCCCCAAAATGTGCGGGAACTCGCGTTTTGGCGAACAAAATGCCAGGATATCTGGCATTTCGCCAGCCGAGATGCTGGGATCTCGCATTTCGGGGTGCAAATTGCGCGGATCTGGCAAACGTTTAGGCTTTCGTAAGAAAAACAAAAATTCTTAAAAAAAGGGGTGTTTTTTTCCCAAGTGACAAAAAAAAACGGACCGTATAAAACAGACCATATTCTTCGCAAACCGTATCTTTGAACCTTGGAGAGAGGAATGCGAGAGAGCAATGCGAGAGAGGAATGGGAGTATCTCACCATGTTGCCGGGGTGACCCCAGTGGATGAGCCAGTCAGGAAGGTTCCAGGAACGCACCAACTCGCCGTACGGCTGTAACAGCTCCCTGAGGGCGTCGGCTGGGGAGTGGGGGAAGGGGGAGGACGGGGAGAAAGAGCGGGAGCAGCGTGGGGAGAAAGAAAAGGGCTCGGAGCAAACCCGCCATACGGCTGCATTAGATCCCTGAGGGCGTCAGCTGGCCGAGTTGAAGAATTGGGGAAATTCTGAAGAGGAGAAGAGGAGGGGAGGGAAGAAGGCGAGGAGAGAAGGCGAGGAGAGAAGGCGAGGAGAGAAGGCGTGGAGAGAAGGCGAGGGTAGAAGGCGAGGGGAGAAGGCGAGGAGCGAAGGCGAGGAGAGAAGGCGAGGAGAGAAGGCAAGGGGAGAAGGCGAGGGGAGAAGGCGAGGAGAGAAGGCGAGGGGAGAAGGCGAGGAGAGAAGGCGAGGAGAGAAGGCGAGGAGAGAAGGCGAGGGGAGAAGGCGAGGGAAGAAGGCGAGGAGAGAAGGCGAGGAGAGAAGGCGAGGAGAGAAGGCGAGGAGAGAAGGCGAGGAGAGAAGGCGAGGAGAGAAGGCGAGGAGAGAAGGCGAGGAGAGAAGGCGAGGAGAGAAGGCGAGGAGAGAAGGCGAGGAGAGAAGGCGAGGAGAGAAGGCGAGGAGAGAAGGCGAGGAGAGAAGGCGAGGAGAGAAGGCGAGGAGAGAAGGCGAGGAGAGAAGGCGAGGAGAGAAGGCGAGGAGAGAAGGCGAGGGGAGAAGGCGAGGGGAGAAGGCGAGGAGAGAAGGCGAGGAGAGAAAGCGAGGAGAGAAGGCGAGGGTAGAAGGCCAGGAGAGAAGGCCAGGAGAGAAGGCAGAGGAGAGAAGGCGAGGAGAGAAGGCGAGGAGAGAAGGCGAGGAGAGAAGGCGAGGAGAGAAGGCGAGGAGAGAAGGCGAGGAGAGAAGGCGAGGAGAGAAAGCGAGGAGAGAAGGCGAGGGGAGAAGGCGAGGAGAGAAGGCGAGGAGAGAAGGCGAGGAGAGAAAGCGAGGAGAGAAGGCGAGGAGAGAAGGCCAGGAGAGAAGGCCAGGAGAGAAGGCGAGGAGAGAAGGTGAGGAGAGAAGGCGAGGAGAGAAGGCGAGGAGAGAAGGCGAGGAGAGAAGGCGAGGAGAGAAGGCGAGAAGAGAAGGCGAGGAGAGAAGGCGAGGAGAGAAGGCGAGGAGAGAAGGCGAGGGGAAAAGGCGAGGGGAAAAGGCGAGGAGAGAAGCCGAGCAGAGAAGGTGAGGAGAGAAGGCGAGGAGAGAAGGCGAGGAGAGAAGGCGAGGAGAGAAGGCGAGGAGAGAAGGCGAGGAGAGAAGGCGAGAAGAGAAGGCGAGGAGAGAAGGCGAGGAGAGAAGGCGAGGAGAGAAGGCGAGGGGAAAAGGCGAGGGGAAAAGGCGAGGAGAGAAGGCGAGGAGAGAAGGCGAGGAGAGAAGGCGAGGAGAGAAGGCGAGGAGAGAAGGCGAGGAGAGAAGGCGAGGAGAGAAGGCGAGGAGAGAAGGCGAGGAGAGAAAGCGAGGAGAGAAGGCGAGGGGAGAAGGCGAGGAGAGAAGGCGAGGAGAGAAGGCGAGGAGAGAAGGCGAGGAGAGAAGGCGAGGAGAGAAGGCCAGGAGAGAAGGCGAGGAGAGAAGGCGAGGAGAGAAGGTGAGGAGAGAAGGCGAGGAGAGAAGGCAAGGAGAGAAGGCGAGGAGAGAAGGCGAGGAGAGAAGGCGAGAAGAGAAGGCGAGGAGAGAAGGCGAGGAGAGAAGGCGAGGAGAGAAGGCGAGGGGAAAAGGCGAGGGGAAAAGGCGAGGAGAGAAGGCGAGCAGAGAAGGCGAGGAGAGAAGGCGAGGAGAGAAGGCGAGGAGAGAAGGCGAGGAGAGAAGGCGAGGAGAGAAGGCGAGGAGAGAAGGCGAGGAGAGAAGGCGAGGAGAGAAGGCGAGGAGAGAAGGCGAGGAGAGAAGGCGAGGAGAGAAGGCGAGGAGAGAAGGCGAGGAGAGAAGGCGAGGAGAGAAGGCGAGGAGAGAAGGCGAGGAGAGAAGGCGAGGAGAGAAGGCGAGGAGAGAAGGCGAGGAGAGAAGTCGAGGAGAGAAGGTGAGGGGAGAAGGCGAGGAGAGAAGGCGAGGAGTGAAGGCGAGGAGAGAAGGGGAGGGGAGAAGAGGAGGTGAGAAGAGGAGGGGAGAAGAGGAGGGGAGAAGAGGAGGGGAGAAGAGGAGGGGAGAAGAGGCAAGAGCCCTCCACAAATGCCCCCTATCCCCACCCCATCCCGTTTCCCCCTCCTCCAGCACTCCTCTCCCCCCATTTCCTCTCCCTTTCCACCGTGAGCTTACCAGCAGCAAGGGCGGCCACAGGCATGGGAGCAACGGACATGAGCAGCCTTTCCCTCGGAGCCTTGTTGCCCTTCTCCTGCGCCTCCTGTTGCCACGCATTGCTGCTCTCCTGCGCCTCCTGTTGCCACGCATTGCTGCTCTCCTGCGCCTCCTGTTGCCACGCATTGCTGCTCTCCTGCGCCTGCTGCTCAGCTCGCAACGCAAGACCTGCGAAATGGTGGGGGTGGTGATTGGGGTTGCAGTTGGGGTTGGGGTTGGGGTTGGGGTTGGGGGCGGGGCGGGGGCGGGATCGCGGTGGTGGATGTGGTGCAAGGCAAGAGAAGGAAGGGTGCTGATGTGCAGAGACCAGACGGGTTGTGCTGATGGCATCTGGCGTAGTATGGCATGACGTAGCGTGGCATGGCATGGCATGATGACGTGGCATGACGTGGCATGGCATGGCATGGCATGGCATGATGACGTGGCATGACGTGGCATGGCATGGCATGGCATGGACATGGCATGCGTGGACTTCCGTGCCATTGTGCGGCGGCTGGGAACGCCATTGTAGTGTAGCATGTGAACAGCTGTTGGGCTTCTCGGTTTAGCTGCAGACTCCATTCCCCGCCGCCAGGAATGGAATGGGCTCTATAATCAATGACAGGAACGCCATTGTGTTGTAGCATAGCGTGAACAAAGTTCATTCCTATCCATTGAGACTCCAGACACCCGGCCTGGCTAGAACATGTGGGAAGAGCAGGCGGCTTGTGCGACCAGGGCGACATGAGATGATGCGTGAGAGTAAGTTCGTTCTGAGAAGGAGCAGACAGCTTGTGCGTCTTAAAACATATTTTCTTCACCAAGAGCAGATGGCTTGTGCGACCAGGGTGACATGGCGCTTCAGCGTAGATAGAGAACGAGCAGAGAGAGAACGAGCAGGGAGAGGGAAATGGCGGTTGCACATTTGCCGCTGAGGCGAAAGCTCTCTTGTAGCGCCTCGCCGCTTCCTGAATAGCCTCTGGTTGGGTTGGGACGCCAAGCAAGGGTTAACCAGGGCATCACAACGGCACCCTCCAGGGCCTCACAACGGCACCCTCCAGGGCCTCACAACGGCACCCTCCAGGGCCTCACAACGGCACCCTCCAGGGCCTCACAACGGCACCCTCCAAGGCCTCACAACGGCACCCTCCAGGACCTCACAACGGCACCCTCCAGGGCCTCACAACGGCACCCTCCAGGGCCTCACAACGGCACCCTCCAGGGCCTCACAGCGGCACCCTCCAGGGCCTCACAACGGCACCCTCCAGGGCCTCACAGCGGCACCCTCCAGGGCCTCACAACGGCACCCTCCAGGGCCTCACAGCGGCACCCTCCAGGGCCTCACAACGGCACCCTCCAGGGCCTCACAACGGCACCCTCCAGGGCCTCACAACGGCACCCTCCAGGACCTCACAACGGCACCCTCCAGGGCCTCACAACGGCACCCTCCAGGGCCTCACAACGGCACCCTCCAGGGCCTCACAGCGGCACCCTCCAGGGCCTCACAACGGCACCCTCGTGCGAAAGTACGTCTGCCGAAGTGGTGCGTTTCGAGGGAGCCCAGTGTTGCGTCTCGTCGGTCCCTCCCACCACTCACGGCGCCACACGTCCGTCCGCCACTCACGGCCCTTGCCATGCCAGCTGTACCTTGGCCCGGTCGGCCCTAGCAAACCGTACCTTGGCGGGTGGGTGTTGCGTCTCGTCGGCCCCACCAGTCCCAGCACAGCACGACGCAACGACGCGGTCCGCCATTACCAGAGCGCTAGCACACTGTACCTTGGCCCGATAGAATACCGTACCTTGGCCCCATAGAATACCGTACCTTGGTGTAACGTCTGCGGACTGAAATTACCCTAGAGAATGTAAAACGCATTCCGCTGCGCCTCTGGGTAACCTCGTTTTGACCCAGTGGGTAGCGAGGCGTTATACTTGGCCCCATAGAATACCGTACCTCGAGGAATGTTGCGTCGCGACAGTCCCGCCAGTCCCCGCACAGCACGACGCAGTGACGGGGGGGTTCGCGCAAGCGGAGAGGCGTTTAGCGGGGAGGCGAGGGCGGCGGAGCGGAAGAGCGCAGCGGACGCCATTGCGCGATTGGCGGAATGCGCGGAACGCGCGGAATGCGGAACGCGCAGAGCGGAGTGCGGAGTGCGGAACGCGGAATGCGCAATGCGGAATGCGAGGTGCACAGTGGGAGGTACGAAGCGTGGAGACAAAACTACTGGGAAAACGGTGGGGTGGGGTCGGCGCCAGGAGAAATATAGAGGCAGGAGCGGTGAGGCTTGACTCTTTGTCAGTACTGCAACGCTGCGAGTTGTTGCGACGTAAAAGTGGCCTGCCTGACGTGACCAGACCAGCCAGACTAATTAGATAATGATGACGTGGCGCTGAGATACACAAGTAGCGAATAAGTGGCGATGGTTGGTGGTGCGGTCAGAGATGAGACACGCGGTCGGAGGAAGACCTGGAGGTCAGTCTTGACTCGAGGTTTGATAGGCGTTCGTTTTGCGGGCTCGAACTGATATGACATGACGGCGTTCGTTTTTTCGTTCAGAGTTGTGGTGGAAAATTTCGCAACTGAGCCTGATGGCCTCCCCTCAACTCTGCAATTTTGCCTTTTATGTAAACCTCTTATGAAATACTTCGATTGACTGGGATACCTTCGTAATGTGGCATTCTGTCCCTGAACCGGGGAGCTTCTGTGCCTTAGGTCACTTCAGCCCAGGGCGAAATAAAAGACATCGCCAGAGTAAGTGTCCAGGCTCCCACTGAAATCGCGTTCCTTTGACGTTATCGACAGCTCTCCGAACCCCGATTAGCGAGAGAGCAGGTTTGAATGCGCGTCGTCGACTAGCTGTCGGGCCTACTTTCTACGCGACTCGCTACTGAAATCCACGACGCGCGCTGGGTCCAATCCGACGAGGAGCCAAGCCGCCCACCGAAATTGACAGTTCCGTGCTTACAAAAAGCGCCACGCCTCTGCCGCTTTCGCGTCTCCACTCCGATTTTCGAATTGTTTCAAAAAGAGGTGACTTCTAAATCGACTCAGAGCCTCTCAGGAGAACCTCGCGCCCCTGCCCACCACGCCCCTGTCCACCACGCCCCTATCCCGTGAACCTCTCCGCCTTTCTCCAGTTTCCTTTCTCCGGCTGCCCTTCCCCCCTCGGCTCGCCACACTGGGTCCCCCCCCTTCTTCCCCCGGATGTCACGCTTCCCCCCTGTTTCCCCCTCTTTCCCCCTCTTTCCCCCTGTTTCCCCCCTGTTTCCCCCCGTGCTCCACAATCCGTGTAGGGCTTCGCAGCCCCAGCCGCGAACGGCTGAGGTCTTCGTAGTCGCGCCGCACCTCGCGTCATCTCTGACGGAGGGCTGCGATCTATTTGGGCTGACAGCTAAGCATTTTGCAGACGATGGATGCGATGGCAGCGCGGCTTCAGAGCTCGTTCGACGTGCGTCTTTCATCGCAGCATTCACCTTTCAAAGGCCGTTTTGGTCTTTAAACGATCACCACTCGCCAGTGTTTTCTTTTTCTTTTTCTTTTTCCACTTCATTATTCATTTATCCACCATTCGCCAGTCGGCATTTAACTTCATCTAATCACCACTCACCAATCATAATTCACCAGTCACCATTCACCGTTCATCATAAATCATTCATCGCTCATAAATCATTCATCGCTCAAAAAACAAAGCTGAATGGACGCGTCACAGCTCGGCGTCAGGGTGCTTTTGAGGTGCACTAATCCCTCCCCCCCTCCCTCCCTCCCTCCCTCCCTCCCTCCCTCCCTCCCTCCCCCCCCTCCCTCCCTCCCTCCCTCCCTCCCTCCCTCCCTCCCTCCCTCCCTCCCTCCCTCCCTCCCTCCCCCCCTCCCTCCCTCCCTCCCCCCCCCCCTCCCTCCCTCCCTCCTTCCCTCCCCCCTCCCTCCCTCCCTCCCTCCCTCCCTCCCTCCCTCCCTCCCTCCCTCCCTCCCTCCCTCCCCCCCTCCCTCCCTCCCTCCCCCCCCCCTCCCTCCCTCCCTCCCTCCCTCCCCCCCTCCCTCCCTCCCTCCCTCCCTCCCTCCCTCCCTCCATCCATTCACCTCGAATCGCCGAGCAGCTGCTCTCCACGCCACCATGCTGCACAGCCAGGGACAGACGCCTGCTCACTGCTCCCCGCCTGTCGCTCCCCGCCTGTCGCTCCCTGCCTGTCGCTCCCCGCCTGTCGCTCCCTGCCTGTCGCTCCCCGCCTGTCGCTCCCTGCCTGTCGCTCCCTGCCTGTCGCTCCCTGCCCGTCGCTCCCTGCATGTCGCTCCCTGCCTGTCGCTCCCTGCCTGTCGCTCCCTGCCTGTCGCTCCCTGCCTGTCGCTCCCTGCCTGTCGCTCCCTGCCTGTCGCTCCCTGCCTGTCGCTCCCTGCCTGTCGCTCCCTGCCTGTCGCTCCCTGCCTGTCGCTCCCTGCCTGTCGCTCCCGCCTGTCGCTCCCTGCCTGTCGCTCCCCGCCTGTCGCTCCCTGCCTGTCGCTCCCTGCCTGTCGCTCCCCGCCTGTCGCTCCCTGCCTGTCGCTCCCCGCCTGTCGCTCCCTGCCTGTCGCTCCCTGCCTGTCGCTCCCTGCCCGTCGCTCCCTGCATGTCGCTCCCTGCCTGTCGCTCCCTGCCTGTCGCTCCCTGCCTGTCGCTCCCTGCCTGTCGCTCCCTGCCTGTCGCTCCCTGCCTGTCGCTCCCTGCCTGTCGCTCCCTGCCTGTCGCTCCCCGCCTGTCGCTCCCTGCCTGTCGCTCCCCGCCTGTCGCTCCCTGCCTGTCGCTCCCTGCCTGTCGCTCCCCGCCTGTCGCTCCCTGCCTGTCGCTCCCTGCCTGTCGCTCCCTGCCTGTCGCTCCCTGCCTGTCGCTCCCTGCCCGTCGCTCCCTGCATGTCGCTCCCTGCCTGTCGCTCCCTGCCTGTCGCTCCCTGCCTGTCGCTCCCTGCCTGTCGCTCCCTGCCTGTCGCTCCCTGCCTGTCGCTCCCTGCCTGTCGCTCCCTGCCTGTCGCTCCCCGCCTGTCGCTCCCTGCCTGTCGCTCCCCGCCTGTCGCTCCCTGCCTGTCGCTCCCCGCCTGTCGCTCCCTGCCTGTCGCTCCCTGCATGTCGCTCCCTGCCTGTCGCTCCCTGCCTGTCGCTCCCTGCCTGTCGCTCCCTGCCTGTCGCTCCCTGCCTGTCGCTCCCTGCATGTCGCTCCCTGCCTGTCCTCACTCCCTTTCCTTCCATGCCTGCTCGTTCCACCGTACAAGTCCTTCTGCTCCCTTCCCTCTGTCCCATCACGTGCACGTGGCACCAAAAGCAGGGGACAGGACCTGCCTGCCTCTAAACACCCCCCCCCGCCTCACCTCTGCCTCCCGCACGTGCTCTTGGCAGGAGGTGCTGGCATCTGCATCACTGCTGGTGGAGGCGGCTTCCTCTGCTCCTCGCGCTGATGCACATTCAGGGTACATCTCCCGCACACACCTCTCCCGCACACACCTCTCCCGCACACAACTCTCCCAGACACACCTCCCTCCCCTCCCCCCACTCTCTTTCCCACTTCCCTCCGTTGTCCTCTCACTCACTCACGCTAGTTCCCTTTCTCCCCTCTGCATTCCTCTGCCTCGCATTCTCTCTCCATCTCCCCCTTGTCTCTATTGGCCTCCCCTTCTTCCTCATTTCCTTTTCCACACTTTACCCACGCCCCATTTTCATGTGCTCCGCACCACTCCACCCCATTTACTCTTTCCGTAGCTCCACCGCACCATGCAGTGAGATGCCAGTAGAATCTGTTTTGGAGGTCTTTCAGAGCCGAGTGCAGGGTGCAAATTTTTGGCAGGGCGTTTTTGTCTATGGTGTTTTGCGATGGTTTGTTTTCGAAGAAACGCGCGATCCGCGTATTTCGGAGGGCGAAATGCCAGATCCGCGCATTTTGGCAGGCGAAAATGCCAGATCCGGGCATTTCGTCCACCAAATCACGACATCTGGCACATTTTGGTGGGCAAAATGGCAAATCAGCGCATATCGACGGGCAAAGGGCCCAAATCCACGCATTTCGCTGGTTAAAATTCCTTTTTCTTGGGAAAAATCGGCCGAATTCTTGCACCAATTAAAAGGAATGCGACGTCAACCGTTTTTTTCATATTATACGGCCGTTTAATTCGGTACAGTACCATGCAGGCAAAACATTGAAAAAAACAAAAAAACAAAAAAAACAAAAAAAACAAAAACAAAACCTCGTTTTTTTGCACCTTGACCAAGTGGACCTCTTTCAAACCACTTGTGCAAATCCCATCCCATGTGCTTCTTCCTTCCACTCTCTGCATGCTTGTCCTCTTTATAAGCAGCTCCGGTGCGCCTCGCAGCGAGGTGGCAGTAGCATCGGCCCTGGAGGTGTTTCAGAGCCGAGTGGACCTCTTTCAAGCCGCATGCGACCGGGCTCAACAGCAAGTGGTGAGAGCAGAACAAGTGGTGAGTCTAGAGCGTAATATACTTTGTTAGTGCCAGCAACTACCCTGAAAAAGTTTCATGTCGAAGCTGAGTGGCCTATTTCAAGCTGCGTGCGACCGGGCACAACAGCAATTAGTGAGTGAAGTAAGGTGGTGTGGTGTAGACCAGTGGTGAGCCTAGAATGCTGTAACCAAATTTGTTCCTGCTAGCACCAGCTCTGGGTGGCGTTTCAGAGCCGAGTGGGCCTCTTTCAAGCCGCAGCAACAGCAAGTGGTGAGAGCAGAACAAGTGGTGAGTCCAGCAACTACTAAGCACACTTTCTACTGCCAGCACCAACTGCCAAGATCAACACTGGAGGTGGTTCAGAGCCGAGTAGACCTCGTTCAAGCCGCATGCGACCGGGCGCAACAGCAAGTGGTGAGCGAGCTAAACAAGCCGAAGAGCAAATCCACTGGTGAGTCTAGAAAGCTGTAACCAGCTTAACCAAGTTTGTTACTGCCAGCATGAGCTCTGGAGGTGGTTCAGAGCCATGGTCAAGGCCCGACTGGCCACAGCAACAAGCAGTAAGATCAACCCAGTGGTGAGTCTAGTGAGTAGGGAACTCTGTTGCTTCTGCCAGCATCGGTTCTGGAGGTGTTTCAGAGCCGACTGAATCTTTTTCAAGCCGCGTGCGAGAGGGCGCACGAGCAATTGGTTTGTTGAATGGAATCTTGAGCCTGGCCGCTATTCCGCCTCTCTTCATGCAGCATCTGCGCTCGGGGACAGGTCGAGCGAGGCACTGGCTGCTGTCTGTCAGAATGCCTGGTGGACGAAGCAAGAGGCGCAGCAAGAAGCACAGCAAGAAGTGCAGCAAGAGGCGCAGCAAAGAGCGAGGCATGGACTAAATGCGTCGATTGTTCGTTCCCCATCTGCACACGACGCAGCAAGGCACCGGCTGCTGTCTGTCAGAATGCCTGGTGGACGAAACAAGAGGCGCAGCAGCCGATGCCTCTGCTGTGGGCGCAGCAGCCGGAGAGGGGGGCCAGCAGATGGCGCCACATCTCCCGGATTATTTCCTGTCTCTTTCCTCCTCCTTGCAATGCACCGGCTGCTGTGGACGAAGCAAGCAGCGCAATGCTGAGTTTGGTGTATTTTGAGTCGACTCAAAATAGTCTGTTCATTCCCTGTCATGATCATCCGTCTTCTTCCTCTCCCCTTGGCGCAGGACGCAGCGAGGCACCGGCTGCTGTCGGAGAGCCTGGTGGACGAAGCAAGAGGCGCAGCAGCTGATGCGTCTGCTGTGGGTGCAGCAGCAGGAGAGGGGGGCCAGCAGATGGTGCTGGGAGCAACGCGGCTGGAGCAGATCAGCAAGGCTGTGCGGGCTATGGTGCAGGACCTGCAACACGGGCAGTCTGAAAGGCACTGACCTGCAGCACGGGCAGTCTGAAAGGCACTGACCTGCAGCACAGGCAGTCTGAAAGGCACTGACCTGCAGCACGGGCAGTCTGAAAGGCACTGACCTGCAGCACAGTAGGAGCAGATCAGCAAGGCCATGCGGGCCATGGTGCAGATCAGCAAGGCCATGCGGGTCATGGTGCAGATCAGCAAGGCCATGCGGGCCATGGTGCAGATCAGCAAGGCTATGCGGGTCATGGTGCAGATCAGCAAGGCCATGCGGGCCGTGGTGCAGGACCTGCAGCAGAGGCACTTGGAAAAGCACGGACCAGGGAGAGCACAGCAAGGGCGAATGGAGCAGATCAGCAGGGGACGAGCTACATTTGAACCCTCAGCGTGATTAGATACGATGCAGTGTGTTGCAGTTGCATTTTGGCATGGTGCAGTGTGGTGTAAGTTCAAACTTGGTATTGTTCACAATACAATCAAGCTGTGCACTGATAGGACGAGTGAGATCGGACGAGTGATGGCCATTCTCACTCCTGGAGGTGCGAGTAAATTCATCGTTGCAAGCCTTCCCTGAACTAACATTCCGTTAGTTCGTGCAGGGTGTGGAAAGACTGTCAAGCTAAGGGAGCTGTCGCCGCGACCTGCCAGTCCTCATCCTTAAAGGAATCGAAAATGAAAGCCGCGTAAGCTGATATCTAGTATACTTACAGAGCTTACATGAAAGCGTAACACCCCTAAACAAGACTAGACAGCACGCTTAAGCGCCGGGGGTGAAGTTGGTGGCATACGCCCAGGCGTTGTTGACGGTGGGGTCAGCCAGGTGGTCCGACAGGTTCTCCAGAGGGCCCTTGCCGGTGACGATGGCCTGGACGAAGAAGCCGAACATCGACACCATGGCGAGGCGGCCGTTCTTCAGCTCCTTCACCTTCAGCTCGGCGAGCGCGTCGGGGTCGTCAGCCAGACCCAGGGGGTCGAAGGCACCGCCGGGGTACAGGGGGTCCTCGACCTCCTGGAAGCCCTCGAGGCCACCCACGCGGTAGCTCTCGACGGCGCCCATGAGGATGACCTGGCACGCCCAGATGGCGAGGATGGACTGCGCGTGGATCAGGCTGGGGTTGCCCAGGTAGTCCAGGCCGCCCTCCGAGAAGATCTGCGCGCCGGCCTTGAACCACACGGCCTCGCCGAAGTTCACGCCGTTGCCGGCGAGAAGCTCCGGGGTGAGGCAGCCGAGAGCACCGAGCAGAGCCCAGCGAGCATGGATCACCTGTGGAAAAAAGGCACACGGCGCGTTAGCCACTACTTCAAAAGCACAATTCTAATTTCGAAAGCTCGGAAACGGCGAGAGTTTCACGACTGAAAGATATGATACGAGGAAGGGGAGGGGACAGCACTGAATTTCGCGACTGAATCTCGCGGTTTGCGTCAAATCTTAGAGACGTACCTCCAGCTCGCGGTTCTTGGCGAAGGTCTCGGGGTCAGCGGACAGACCCGCCGTGTCCCAGCCGTAGTCGCCGGCGTACTCGCCGGTGAGGTACGACGGGGGGGAGGAGTACGGGCCCAGGAACAGGCTGCGGTCGGGGCCGTAGAACTGGCTGCTGGAAGCCGCCTTGGCGGTCTTCCTCATGGTCACGCGGGCCTCGACATTGTTCACCTTGGCGGCGAGCTCAGCGCTCTGGCCGACGAAGGTGGAGGGGAGCACAGCGGCGTTGGCGAGAGCGGCCATTGTCGGCTGCGGAAGAAGGAACAACTGGAAAGTTGTGTGAGAGGAACCTGGGAGAATTGAAGTCTGCTGCGGGTGACTGCTGCTGACTTGGGAAATGAGAAAAGAATGGCGGTATTTGAATGGCGACTTGGACAGGGTGGAGAGGATGGGGGGAGAGGTTGGGAGAAGCGGATAAGGGGAGCGGAGGGGGGGAGCGGTTGGGGGGGTGAAAACAGAAGGACGAGGGCGAACAGGTGGATGATGTTAGGTTGGGGGAGGATGAGGCTGGGCGCTGAGAGGGCGGGGGGGAGGCTGCGTGTGCCCCCAGATTGGATGAGAGTCTGATTGGCTGCTTGTGTTTCGGTTTGGCTGAGGTTCGCCTGAGGCGGCTCCTAATTGCTTTAGGATTGGCTGGTTTCGAGATTGGAAGCGCGTTATGGATGTCCGAACGCGACACGCGGAGATTATCTCGTCTCTTGATCGCGCATCTGGGCAATCAGGTTCTGCCAATGGCGGAGGTTGAGGTGGTCCCCCATCCCAGGGTGGCCACCCAAGCCACTCTTTCGAGGACAATGCCCTAGAAACAGGGACTTCGTACGGCTTACAATCCATTGCGAGTATAATAGCTTCAAACCTACACACTTTCCAACGTATTTCAACTTTAGTCTTTCTTTTTCCAACATATTTCAACTTATTCCAACTTATTTCAACTTTTCCAACATATTTCAACTTATTCCAAAATATTTCAACCTTTTCAACATATTTCAACTTTTTCAACATATTTCAACCTTTTCAACTTTTCCAACATATTTTAACCTTTTCAACTTTTTTCAATATATTTCTATTAAATTATATATATGTTATATAATTGTAGGCTTTGTAGGTGTTACTGAAACCTAATATAGATGGTACAACCCCCTCCTTGTATCCCTCTCACTTCTTATCTCGCTCTCTTTTCTCTCGAAGCTTTCTCCTAGCTAAACCCTCACGCCATTTTATGGCTTCATAGCGTCCTAGTCTCTTAACATGGTAACAGAACAGGTTGCCCTTCCCGGGCCTGCTCCCCACGCTTCCACCGCGCACTCCTCTCCCTCTTGCGCTGTCATGGCGGCCGTGTCGTGCTGTTGTGGCGGCGTCGTCGTGCCGCCGGCCGCGTCGTGCTGCCGCGGCCGTTTCGACGCGCTGCCGTGGTGTCGCGCTGCCGTGGCGTCGACGTCACGCCGTGGCGGCTTCGTCGACGTCGAGCCGTGGCGGCGTGACGGCGTTGTCGACGTAGAGCAATGGCGGTGTGACGACATCGTCGTGCTGCCGTGGCGTTGACTGCCAGCGCGCGTACGGCACGGTCGGTAGCGGCCAACGCCTCGTTTTAGGCGCCGCCGGTCCTGACGCCCGCACGCCAGCCACGGGCGTGATGCTGGACCACGCCCCGTCCCCCCCCTCCCCCCCGCCCCCCTCACCTTTTCCCCTGCGTCCCCTCCTCCTCGCCACAGCCGACACCTGACTCGTGAGGGTCTTCCCCATCGTCACAGAGCTTGGCCACGCCGCCGAGAGGGCGGGCGCCGCTGCCGTCGCCGCTGTCGTCGAAACCGCCGTCGCCGCTGCTGGCCTGTTGCCGCTGCCGTCGTTGCCACCTCCCGGGCCGTGGGGTTGGCCATGCCGGAGTAGTCGTGGCTGCTGCTGGGAATTGGGGGTGCTAGGTTAGGGGGTGTGGGTGTGTGTGGGTTCTTCTACTACCAAGCCTAGGGGGTGTGTTAAATTATATATATGTTATATAATTATAAGCTTGGTAGGTGTTACTGAAACCTACTGTATAGGGTACAACCCCCTCCTTGTATCCCTCTCTCATCTAATCTCGATCTCTTTTCTCTCGTAAATTTCTCATAGCTAAACCCTCACGCCATTTCATGGCTTCCTAGTGTCCTAGTCTCTTAACAATTTCAACTTTTCAAATTTTTTTCCAACATATTTCAACTTATTCCAACATATCTCAACTTATTCCAACCTTTTCCAACTTATTTTAATATATTTCAATATATTTAAACTTTTCCAATATATTTCAACTTTTTTCAACATATTCCAACTTTCTTTCCAACACATTTCAACTTTCGCATTTCTTTTTTGTATTCATTCATTTTATGATCCTACACTCTTTCACTATTATGGCTAGGGTTATTCTGCTAATTAATTTGTCTTAACCTAAAAAACGGCTCTTTTAGGAAGGATCGCCCGTTTGTTGCAAATCTAGTATCAACTTTGTAAAGCTCACATATGTCGAGGGCTGGTACAACATTGTGGAATTGTAACTTTGCATAGGCTGTAGAAAAAAAAAAAAAAAAAAAAAAAAAAAAACAACAGCAACAACAAAAAACAAGCGAACAAGCCACAATAACATTGAACTGAAATGAATGCAAAAAGAGGGATGATGATTGTAAAACGTGTTGAAGTATACTGTTAGAAAACTAGAATGATTCTACAGGGAGGACCGAATGGCGAAAGGTTTTAGATGGTAGGAAAAATGTCGAGAGTGAAGAGAATGAGATTAGAAGAGAGAGGGATACAAAAAGGGGGGTTGTACCCTCTATAGTAGGATCCAGTAACACCTATCAAGCCTACAATTATATATACAGTATATAATATATAATTTAACACACCCCCTAGGCTTGGTAGTCACAAGCCCACCCCACATGCAACACCTCTGAGCCTAGCACCCCCGTACCGTGCAGCAGAGGTGACTGCAGGGAAGGAAGGCGCTAGGCTTTCTTGAGCTGCGGCGAGGCGGAGCTAGCTGGTGTGGCGAGCTGGGACCGACGCTGCGAGCTAGGACGGACGCGACGAGCTGGGTCCGCTGGGACCGACGCGGCGAGCTCGGTCCGCTGGGACTGACGCGGCGAGCTGGGTCCAACGAGGCGAGCAGGGTCTGACACGACGAGTTGGGGAGGCGCGGCAAGCTGGATTGCGGGCTTGATGCCTGGTGCCTAAACCAGTGCACGACCCACTGCCGACCGTGCGCTGACGCGACGACGGCGGCACGGCGGCAAGACGAAGTCGCCACGTCGAGGCTAGCACGGCAGCGAGACAAAGCCGCCATGGCAGCACGACACGGCCACCACGGCGGCGCTGAAGTAACGAGAAGGAGAGGGGTACGCGGCGGAAGCGTGAGGGGGCGGCCCAGCAGGGCGGACCTCCGGCTCTGATACCATGCTAGAATACTAGAATGATTCTAGGGGGAGAAGCCATGAATGGCGAGAGGTTTTAGATGGTAGGAAAAATGTCGAGAGAAGAGAATGAGATTAGAAGAGAGAGGGATACAAGAAGGGGGGTTGTACCCTCTACAGTAGAATCCAGTAACACCTATCAAGCCTACAATTATATCAATAATATATAATTTAACATATGCTCGATATAGTGGTACCATTTATGCATTCCTGATATTAACCGAAGGGTCACGCCACTCTCAGACACACGGATAGTCACTAGTCAAGTCACGCAAATAGTCGAGATACACTACGAACAGGTACATTACGAATAGGTACTTCCTAGATCATAAATATGCCAGTATTACTAATTATTATTATCCTTGTCATCTCGGACCTTTCCACTACAATGTGTAAAGTCTTCCGCTGACTTTTTGTCTTGGTTCACCAAAATCCTGGCCACCCTAAACAAGTGGTTCACTTTAACATGGCATTTTGAGCAAGTAGACTTACAGGAACTGATACAAGCTGATTTCTATTACGCCCTAAGCATAAGTTAGAAATCTATAATCATGTCATCTGCTAAGACAGGAAATTCAACTACGAATTCTCCTACTTTTGGTCTATCTATTGACGATCTACACTGACGGAAAGTATTGTCCACATGTTTGTGACTTAGAGGAATTTTGCCATTTTAGGGGGTCATGGACATTAAGCCTTAATCTTCTGGTGTGCCTAGTGTATGTAGGTTGGGGTAAGGCTCCACGTCCATGCCTTTCATCACACAAGTATAATGATGTTTACAACAAGTACTAGAAAATAACAATCTTGGTACATGTGGACAATTATTGCCAGGCGCAAGCAGCAAGTTACATCAACCCCAAACTAGTACCTAATCCACCGCCCTTTCGCCTTAGACACCGCCCTCACCCTCCTGGGCATGCTTTCCACCAGGTGGGTGCACACATCCGCCGGGATCTTCTCCCATTTCTCCTGCACCCGCTCCCAAAGGTCCAGCATACCAGTGGGAGGCTTATGAGGCTTGGCCAGCTGCCTCTTGAGATGAGCCCATAAATGCTCCATTGGGTTGAGGTCGGGTGAGGAAGACGGCCACTCTAGCACCCCTGAATCTTACTCTCAAAGCCACTCCTGTACGATACGCGACTTGTGCTTCGGGTCGTTGTCGTGCTGGAAGATAGTTTTTGAGGGTGTAAGCTGGTAAAGCTCAATCGTACTGTTGAGATCGTCCTGCAGTATACTCAGCGAGAGCAGTCCGTCCACCCTACCATATGTTTTGCTCATGAAACCCGCTCCCTTTTACGACATGCAGTCGTAAATTATCAAGCAACCGCCCCCGTGTTTGACGGTCTGCTTGATTTGGTGTCTTTGGAGGGCAGTCCCTTCGTGAACGCAGGCGTATGAGAGTCAGTCGGATGCAAGACGACCGATCTTGGTCTCATCCGCATAGAAAACTCGCTTCTAGTCGTCAACCGTCCAGTCTGCGTGGGCACGCGCCCATTCCAGCCTATCGCGTATGTTTTTCCGAGAGTGTCGCGGCTTCTTGGGATGCTTGATTGCGACAAGTCGGCTCCCATTCAAAGCGTTACGCAATGTCTTAGGATGCAACGTGATGCCATGCTGCTTCTCAACGATTTTCGCCACGTGAGCGGAGATTTCTGCCTCCTCGAGGGTAATCGACCGAACTATGCCGCGGCGAACTCTCTCTGTCACTAAGCGAGGGCGACCGGCTGAGGGCATCGTAGGATGCACGTCATTGCGGCTAGACTCTACAATCGCCTTGATGGGCCGAACTCTTCCCTATGGCTAGCTGTTTGGCGATTCAACGATTGCTCTACCCCCTCTGCAACAAGGGAATGATCTATGCGTAGAGTGCCTCATCTAACGGTTTCATGAC